GGTAGAGTTAGCCCAAGGGGCTACAACTTTCAAATGCGCGTGACAAAAATTAAGAAACGGCTATCAAGTTTTCCATTTCAGATTAGCAGCCTCTTAGTGCTAGGCTGCTTCGAGGGGACCGCTGTTTTTTGTTTGTATGCCTTTCTGAATCCATGGCTGTAGGTTTAAATTAGATCTGCTGAGGTAGTTTCATGAGCTTCCGAGAACAATTGTTTCGGGCCAGTCTGGAACTTAGAAGTTGGAGAAGACATTGCCTTGCCTCAGAAACCAAGTCTCCTGCCAACTTCAAATTTCAGTCACATTCTTAGGATAAAACCCTCATGGTTTCCATTAAATTAAAGACGTTGCATTTTACAGTGCACCTACTGCAAGTACTTCTGGCGCAGAAGACAACAATCGCTGCTGCATCAGAAGGCAAAGATGTGTCAGCTAGTTCATTAGTTTGAAGAGTTGAGCTCCTCCGTCAAGCTGTTTGTGCACCAAAAAGCCAAATCCGCGTGAGCACAGATATTTGCGGTTTTGACGCTGTTTCTTACATGCAGTATACTGTTACCCTTATTAAACATTGCATTCTGAGAGTTGCTTTATATTTTGTGTTGAAATTATCTCCAGTAGTTTGAACATCTAGAGCATTGTTCTTTAGAGAGTGACACAATCAGTTTCTCTGCTGCCAGATTAACACAGATACATCCTTTGTTTCTTCAAAAGCAATGCTGAAAGGATGCGATTTGGAGGAGCGCTTTTTTCCTGCAAGCTTTTAACGATTGTGAAGAAATTAGATAATACGGTATAGCAATAGTAGCACATTCTCAAGCACAAAGAAGCAAACGTGCAGCTAGCATGAAGTCTTTCTAGGTTGGTACCTACGAATTAAAACGTGCCGGCTGATCTGCAGCTCGTTTGCATTCACTGTAACAACCGGTAGCCTGTCACAGCACCTCCCTGTGAGCCAGCTGAAGCCTAGAGCTGCATTTAGATTGCTCTGCTGTATCGATGCAGGTCTGATGAAAATATCTTCTCTCCATTTGCGGCACAGTTGTTACGTGTGGCCTGCTCTGATGTCTTGTTCCCGCTACCAAATGTTTCACGCTGCGTGCTGGTTGGTACTTCTGGGCAGTCAGTCGAGGATTTGGTATGTACTCATTCATACTAAATATTCTGTCTTTTTATAGTCAGTGAAGAGGGCTGTGATAAATAAAGCCCATGTTTTGTGATGGTGACAGTAAGATTGCAGAAGGCATAGATCACTGACAGTGAATTTAATTATTTGTAATCAAAAGAGAATGAATTTCCAGTACTGCTGGATAAAACATGTTCTGTGTTAGTAATCCTGAACAGTCTCTGAACTCAGACTCGGTGCTTGCATATGGACAGAACTGGTTCATGTATGTGACATTTGACATGAAGTTGCCAGATTCGTTTGCATGAGGAGTGATGAAATGCAAGTACGTTTAGAAGAAGCAGCTCTTAACACGCAGTAAGCCTGCTTGCATCCTTGTGTGGTTTGGAATAGTCTAGGCCAAATGTGGCTGCCATCTGCATTTTTAGGAAGTGAGCTCTGTGCCCAGCTTCCCTGCGAGAGGCAAGCTCTGAGCAGCTCCTTTCTAGCAAAAAGTACTCTCAAAGCACCTGTTACACCTACGATAGTCGCTGTTTCTACAAGGGAATACTTGGGGAGATTATCCCCACGAAAACGGGAGTTTTGATTTCTCATAGGAAGCTTGAGATGTACGTGGAGAAAGCATTCCCACATCTGCTCCTGTCCTAGGGCAGGAGCTGGGGTTTATTGCCTTTTATAAGAAACGTGTAACTTCCTTCATTTTTTTTATGCGAAAGATGTGCAAGAATCGTGAACCTGTGTTTGAAGAAATAAAAAAAAATAGACATACTCAATTCTCCATCTGCTTTGGGAAGGTGAGGAGAGTGAGGTAGCATTTTTAACTTTCTGTAATGAGTAGAACTGAAAGTACAAACACATATTTCAAGAGTTGAAGCATTATGAAAAATGCTAAGCAGCATACACTGATGCTGCAGAACCCCTGTACATACTGTGTTAAAGGTGAAATACTTTGAATTGCAACGTAACCATGATGAATTGGGATCAATGGTGATACTGAATAGGCATTAACAATCCGTATCCAACATAAAATAGAAAGAATGCGATCTCGTTGTGAAGTCTCAGTATGTTGTTGTGTGTACTTTATAAGGCTCCAACATGCCACTGAACTCCACAGTAAATACTCCCGATTTCTTACTGATTGAACTAAATTTACGGAAGGTCACGATCCAGATTTAATCAGGCTTGCTTTTTTTTTTTTTTACTTTGCCCTTATGCCTTTGCTCCTCGTACCTTTGTGTTACTATAGTTGTAAAACACAGTCTGCTGAACACTAATGCAGTCAGGTCAGTAGGCCTTGATAAATTTGTTTCTGTTCCTTTACACAAATGAGAATGTCAAGACACAGCTCAGCATGGCTATGTTAGCGTTTGTATACATTTGTCATTTTAATAAACTTACTGGAAAAAAAAATCAGTCCTTACCTATTCATGTTAAAACTTTATTTTTAGAGTTCAGTATATTTCCTAAACAAAAAATGTCTGCCTTAATAATTTGTCTTGCTATTTTTGAAGAAAGAGGCAGTTAATTTAATATTACTGACTCTCATCTCATAGAATCACAGAATAGTTTGGGTTGGAAGGGACCTTTAAAGGTCATCTAGCCCAACCCCCCTGCCGTGGGCAGGGA